AGCCTTTTAGCGTCTACAACAGATATGAACCAGGAGGAGGGGCTAGAACATCAGGGAAATGCTGAGGTGTGAGGATAATCACAGAGTCTAACGCAGCTCCTTGTCTTGAAAAAAGGCACCGAAGTCTTTTACGTAAACCCTCTGGTATAATGAAGAATGTAAGTCTTTTACGTAAACCCTCTGGTATAATGAACAATGTAAGTCTTTTACGTAAACCCTCTGGTATAATGAAGAATGTAAGTCTTTTACGTAAACCCTCTGGTATAATGAACAATGTATGCAGTACTTTTAAGGAATACAACTTAGGGTCAGCAGGTAATGCAGTGGTTAAGGTGCTGGACTCCCAGTGGGCAACCGTGGTATGCGTCCTGGACCTGGTGGTTTGAAAGTCATGCCAGGTGTGTGCACGTGTGTGCCCCAAATCCCAAGAGGAGAACAGAGGAGAAGGGCCTGTGGCATGGCCACCCCCCGTGGGGAGATCTCTCACTTTCCCTTTCCCTGTCTCTGTCCAGCAAGTGCACACTCTCTATGGCAAACTTCCTACCCCTGCAAAAAAACAAAAAACAAAAAACAATTCTATTGAAATACAGAATTTGAATTTCTGCATGAAGCACGCTTATTATACACTGCATACCTACTTAACACAAATTTTGCTAGTTTTTAGAATCGTATTAAGGAGGGGAAGATTTAGATGGCATGACTCTCTCACAACTGTGCTCAGAGACTTTAATGGTGGTGCCCCTCTCTCCTCTGGATCAACTTTCTCAGCGTGCACAAACGTTCAAAACTTGTAAGTTCTCTGAACACAGTTCAAAGGTGAGTAATCACTTCTTTAGAAAAACAGCCATGGTGGCACCTGAATGGGTGAAGACAACTTAAAGGTGTCAGGGCAAAGAAAATAAATAGAAAATAATCTAGTTTTCGCGTTTCTTTGTTTTGTTTGCTCTTCCTCCCGACCACATGGGCTCACCACTGTTCCTTGGAAAGACTCGCACAGTCCCTGATCCAGAGGGAGAAGAAAACAGTGCCAGCTCAGTATGAATTGTCCATATTTTTTTGAACAGTAAGAGGTGCTTGTGTCAAATACACCTAAATCCACAAAAATGTCTTCATAAATCCAGCCTGCATAGGTTTGAAGCAGCAACATACATATAACACACAGATCTCCTTATCAAATCTAAACATTTCAATTCGACTTACCTTATAGAATTTGATGATATCTTCCTTGGTAAGTGTCTTTAAATATGCAACTTCTGTATTATCTGGAAAAGTAATTAAACAATAATTCACTGATATTTCTATATTAAGTATTCCAGAATACTACACTACACGA